GTTCCTGCCCTAACTCCCTCAGGGACAGACATAGGGTAACCAGACTGTATTCATCTTAAGGATGTGAAGACTTGCTCGGAGAGGTGATGTCCCTTGCCTGAGGTGCACAGCTGATATGCGGCTACTTTTGACCGGTTGCCTGGATGTGTAAGAGGAAGTAAAACCTTTCCTCTTCAAGTTGCTTTTGGTCATGGTGTTTTATCATAGCAACAGAAAACCTAACTACGACAGCTTGCCTGGTTTGCTGCCCTCCCCAAAGCTGCCAGTCCCAAGTCATCGACTGCTTTGTCTGAAGTGCAGGTTCTTCATTCATAAAATGGGGGAATAACTGCATCTGGGGCTCATACGGATCAGAATCTCAACATGTCAACATGGTTTGACCCTTGAAGCCTTAGGATCTGCCCAGGTGGGCCTCTCCTCATTCTCCCCAGGGAAGGTTGCAGGAAAGACAGATAATGTCTCTGCCCCAGTATTGACCAGTGGATGCCTCTAGCTGGAAACTGTCTGCCGAGGAAGGGGAGAAGCCCAAGCTTCCAGGACCCCAGCCCCACTGAACCCTAAATGAGACCGTTCCACAGGAGAACAATTCATATTTGGTTGCCAGTCACCCTCCACTACTACTCAAGACCCAAGAACCCACCTCCACTACCTATACCCTGAAACAAGCTGGGGGATTTGGGGCTCCAGGGTGCTTCTCTAGACACACTTCAGGTCCACTCAAGTGGGTGCTATGCTCCCATAACCTCTTATACTTGGAGGGCTCTGGGATGTACATGTGGACCTGTGGCTCCGGACCTGATAACATGGGGAACCCACAAAATCCATACCAGCCTACTACTACTAAGCCCCTTATAGGGCCCAGAGGTGAGGCCTTTCTCAGAGACAGGGCACCAGGCCTGCTCCTCAGCAGATGACCCGCATGGGATGCTGGGTGTCAACTGCCACTCCTTCACAAGCCTAAAGCATTTCAGATCTGTACAAGTAATTGTGTGTGTGCCTAACCCAGGTTCACATCACGATACTTTTACACCGTTCTGTTTCACAAGCTTCCTAAACGGATGGTGTTTGTCTTCCAATCCTGCAGGACCTGGCAGGCTCTCTCTGTTGACACCCCAACCTCTAACATTTGCTGGCCTGAGCTTGTGATGTCCAGGCCGGTCTGGATTTGTGATCCTCTTGCTTTCTCCTCAGCGCTGTAGTTACAGGATGCTCCACCACACCCAGCTACAACTTCGCCCTTCGTGAAGACTCAGCATGCTCCTTCTAGGAAACAGGTCTCCTACACTGAAGCTTCAGATATCTGAAAGAGCTTGTCTCTGATCCCAATGGCAAGTGTGATATATAATTCTTAAATGACAACTAGAGTCCTGATTCTCTTTGTGATGACAGACCCTGCCATCTGAGGTGGGTCACAAAACATAGTGGCTTGCACTTCTTCCTTCTCTTGAAATTTCCTCTGGCAAAAAACTGCCTTGGGGTAATCAGCAAAGATGAATCATGGTGGCCACACGGTGAGGAAGTAAGTCTTCACTTTCATTTGAAGTGGATCCTCCAGCCCCAGACAAGCCTGCAGACATGTTCAGCCCTGGTCACACATCTTGACCTTATGTTCAGAGAGATCCTAAATCAGAACTACAAATGACTTGCTCCCAGTTCCCAGCCTGAGGAAGCTGTGAGACAGTGTTAGTTGTTATGTAGTAGATGATGCAAACAAAATTCTTGCATGTCTTACCACAAAGACCACAAAGCTTTCAACAGCACAGTTATGTCTAAAGTAACCACAAGCTCAGTGAGCTCCAAAGTGGGGTGACTTTACCAACAGGAGCACTTAGCAGTATTACTGTCTGCACCAGTTTCTCAGTACCTTGGTCTTTGTCTTCTGGCATGTCACCATGTGATTACAAGCTGACTTCAGCTGTGGTTGGAAGCACTCCAGCTGCACATGTTGGCACTTGAAGGCTGGAACAGTCTTTGTATCTTCTGCATACCACAATAGGTAAGACCTCAGCAGGCATCAGACTACATCGTGTGTGTGCCCAGCTGCTTTCTTATCTACAACCTCATTGTAGTACCTAAGAGGCAGTTTTGAGGATTGAGAAATGGGGTGCAGAACAGGTGATTGGCCCTGGGCTCTGTGTGTGGGCAGTTAGATGAAAGGTTTTAGGGGATAGGTTAAGATGCCATGCACCTTGTTTGAGATCTAATCTCTCTCTCTGGGACCTGAGCTTTGTTGATTAGGCTAGGCTGCACTAGCATCAAGCACAGGGTTCCCAATCTGTCTCTCCAGCACAGGGATGATAAGAGCATGCGATCATGTTCAGCTTTCTATGTGGGTGCTAGAGATGGAACTCAGGTTCTCGTGCATCTCCAAAAAGCACTTTACCTTGGAAGCTATCTATCCCAAACTACTGTCCATCTAGAGCTGAGGCACACCTCCTTTCTATTTATGACCTCAGAGCTAGGAAGATGTCACTAGTTACCAGAAAACAAAGAACTGAAACCAAGGTTATTTAAGAGGATAGACACTGTATGGTGGGTCCCCAGTAAACAGTAAACATGGCAGTCTGCCCAAGACTATACCCTTGGCTCAGTAGTCACTGTCTTCTCTGGCAGTTATTATTTGTATCTTCACTGAGGACACCTTAACTGTCCCCTCTCCAAGATGGAGTTTGCCTCTTGTTCCCCACCACTACCCTCAGTCTAACCTGGGCAATCTGCAAGCTAACCGAGATGTTTTATCTCTGTATCTCCATGGAAATGCAATGACCAGCATAGAAGTGCTCGGCTGTTACCACTCAACAGTGGACGTATAGGGTTCAGAAGAGGATCTCCTGAGCAAGTCGGGGAATACTCCCTTGAAAGACCAGAGCAGGCAGAAAAAAGGGTTCAGAAAGAAAGCAGCAACAAGGGTTAAGATTTCAAAGGCCCCCAAGACATCCATGGACTTGCAGAGAAAGTGTTTTGTATGTTCCAGTCCTCCCACTGGAAGTTGGAGTGACCGTGAACATCAGTGTAGTGAGGGACTCCCACATGATGCTGTGACATGAGCTGCCAGTGCCTTGCATGAAGAACCTTCGGCTGATGGGTTTTTGAGCTTTTGAGACAATCCTCTTGACTCTGCCCCCTGAGTGTTAGGATTGTAGGTGTTCCGCCACAGCTGAGGTCCCTCAGTTGTAGGGACTTATGCCAAGAGCCAGCTGCCTCCACACTCCTCTTCTGTCCACCTAGACTACTTCTTTCTAGTCTTTCATGGTACCCTAGGATCCAAGCCCAGGAATGGAGATGGCCCAGTGGGGAAAAGAAAGCCCTCTCCAAATTGGCCGAGGGAGCATGGCTACAGTGGGAGCAAACAGACCCCAGGGCTCTGGAATAGAACAAGTCAATGGATAAGCTGCCCAACACCATCTCTGACTAAAGCACAAGCAACTGCAGGCCTGGGCTACTGCCTAGCCGGCCCCATGTGTCTAACTGTCAACTTGACACAAGCTAGAGTCATCAGAGAAGAGGACCTCAGCTGAGGAAATGCCTCCATGAGATCCAGCTGCAAAGCATTTTCTTAATTGGCGATCAATGGGGAGGGTGCAGCTCACTGTAGGTAGTGCCATCCCTGGGTTGGTGGTCCTAGGTTCTATTGGCAGGCTGAACAAGCCAGTAAACAGCACACTTCCATGGCCTCTGCATCAGCTCCTGCCTCCAGGTTCCTGCTCTCACTGCTTCTGATGATGAACTTATATGCAACTGTGGGTGAAATAAACCCTTTCCTCCCCACGTTGCTTTGGTCATGGTGTTTCATCACAGTATTAGTAACCCTAAGACACTGTTCCTTCCAGGTTCTGGGTATGGCCAAGCCCTGGACTTGGATGTGGCCTCAGGATGCTGCTTGTTCCCCTGAGCTAACCTAACCCCTGCACCACAAGAGACTTCTGGGGTGAACCAGTTGTACAGGACTCCCAGTTGGGGATAATTTATCACAATCATTCAAGACTTCCTGATAAAAACAGAACCCAGACCCTTAATGATTCCTTTCAACTGGGCTGCGACTTTCAGCTGGTCAGAGGCAGAATCACCTGGGTTAACACCATGAGTACAAAGTAAAAAGCATTTCAAAAATGTGCTGGACTATGTGGCTACTCCTTTGACAACCTCAGCAAAGAGATGAGTGTCCTGTCTCAAATCATAGGTGCTGAGGCCTAGTGGAGTCAAGGTAGCAGTGTCACGCCCCAGCAACAATTGCTGCTAATGCAGGAGCTACACAGCCTTTCCCTGGAAGAAGGGGCACCTGTCTAGGCCCTGAAACGTCAGGTTAAGGACAGAAGGCCGTTCCTCTTCCAGCAGTGGACACTTGTCTACCTAACTGCACAAAACAGATTTCAACCGGACTACCCTTTATCCAATGCTGAGTTAAAGGGGCCCCGCGGAGGCAAAAATCAAGGCAGCCCTAACGGGTGGCAGGCAGCTGTCACACGAAGGTGTGAGGCGGCTTCTCCTCCCTTACTTAACCCTCTACCCTCGACGAAGCACGGTTGGAGAAGCAACAGAGAATAATATCCTCTGGCAAGTTTGTGTCCTTCCAGGGAACTGAAAGGCCGGCCCCTGCAGTAGAGTGGATTCTCGAGCAGATCAAAAGGTCACTGTCCTCGTCTCCCCGCGGCACCGTGAATGGAGCCGCAAATCCAGGTAGTCACCATCCAGCCAACAAAACCATATGCCCGGCCATTTGGGTGTCCAAGGAATGCTCCAGCCGCATCCCGTGGCCCTCTTTAGGATCCACAGCGTCCGATATCAAATAGTTTCGAGACGGAAGCCCAAGCCGGGTAAGTCACCACGGCACAGACACTGGGTCGGCCGCGAAGGGGTCACAACGGACCTTCCCGAGCCTCTCTTCCCCACTGGATCTTTCAGAACACAGGGAGGAAACGAGCGGCACGCCAAGTTCCCGGCGGACACCGGAAGGAGCAACGCATGCTGGGAAGCAGGCGGCTCCCGTGATCCGCGAAGTATGCTGGGCACGGGGCTGCATGCTGGGCTCGGTAGTGGGCCAAGCGACCTAAACCAAAAAGCTTCCTGTGGTCCCCTAGACGTCGAGCTCACGCGACTGCAGCCGCGCCGTCCTGAGAATAACGCACACAGATTTATCAGGGTAGCGCCGGCGGGGAAGAAAACGGAGGCGACGAACTCTCGCGAGAGCAGAATCTGACCGTCCCGCCCCTCCCCTCCGGGACTCGGAGCTGAAGCGCGTGCGCGAGTAGGCGGCTGTGTCACGTGACCTGGGAACGGCGCCTGGTTGGCCGCTGGCGGGTTACCGGGACAACGGAGCTTGCGGCGCCGGGGCGGGTCAGCCCCAGGAGGTCTCGCGGGCTAAGCTGACCGGGTTTGCAGCAGCGACGGTCACGCACTCGCTCCCGGGCGGCGACCGAGTCCACAAGCAGCAGATGGGAGCCCAGGGCGCCGAAGATGCAGGCGGTCCGGGCCGAGACGGCGGCGCGGGAGCTCTTCCGGGACGCCGCATTCCCCGCCTCGGACTCCTCGCTCTTTTTCAACTTGTCCACGCCCCTGGCCCAGTTTCGGGAGGACATCACTTGGAGACGGCCCCAGGTGCAGCCGGGTCTCTCGCCTGGGCGGGTGTTGCGGATGAGTTTCCCACAGACGTGGGCTCTGGGGTTAGCGGGACCCGCCGCCCACTCCGGTAGTTCCTCACGCCCATTCAGAAAGGTACTAGCTAACCCTGAGGGTTGAGATGAGGTAGCTCCTCCAGGTCAGGAGGTTGGAAGCAACTAGACGGTTTGTCTTTTAGATGTTGTTTTGAAATATTTGTACTAAAATATGCTACGACCCAAAGTGTTCTACTCTGAAGATTAGAAGCAGTAATTCCAGGTCCCACCACTTAAGTTCGGTCAGGTGTAATTCAGCATACTTTGACAAATCTTTCTTCTTCAATGTGCATTTCTTTATTTTATTTTATTTATTTTTGTTTTTGTTTTTCGAGACAGGGTTTCTCCGTTTAGTTTTGGTGCCTGTCCTGGATCTCGCTCTGTAGACCAGGCTGGCTCTGCCAACCGAGTGCTGGAATTAAAGGCGTGCATCTGCCTGCCGCCCGGCTTATTTTTTCTTAATGTGCATTGGTGTTTTGCCTGCTTTCATGTCTGTGTGAGGGTGTCAGATCCCCTGGAACTGCAGTTATAGACAGTTGTGAGCTGCCATGTGGGTGCTGGGAATTGAACTCGGGTTCTCTAGGAAGAGCAGCCAGTGCTCTTAACCTCTGACCCACCTCTTCAGCCCCTACATATTTTTCTTGGCTTTGTACGTTGCTTACATTTATTTTAGTAGCTCTTGGCGTTGGGATATGAACACCAAGAGATGGCACAGAATAGAGGGATCTTTGTGGTTAACCAGTGCATATTGGGAAAACGTAAGGGGCTGCTGCTGTTGGCTTCTCAGGACTCCCTTAAATGGTACAGGCAGATGGGACTACGTATTGTAAAATAGGAAAATTCTGGTCACCAACCAGCAGTTTCGGGATCGACTGGTCAGTTTATTGCAGATGTATTCAATTGAACAATTGAACTTGCAGGAGCAAATCTATTTGATTGATCCAGAAGCTGAAGGTGGAGTCGCATAAGAACTGGTAGACCACCTGGTCATTATAACAGGCACAGCCCCACTCTCTTGCCTCTCTCCAGCCTCCATCAGTCTTGGTCATTTGCTGTGTTCGCTCAGATCTTCTCCTCACAGCAGTGTTCCCCTCTCATGGCCACAAAGAGCTGTGGTAGATGTTGTTTTGGACTTCTTGCAGTTGAAATAGATGCCCGGGCCTAGTGCTTTTGTTGGTGGTTTTTTTGATGTGGCTTATCTGTTAACCAAGACTGCCCAGGGAACAGCCTGCCCCACATGGATCTAGTGCTGCTGTATCCATGACAACTGGATGGATGCCTGCCCCTGTGCAGCCTGCGCTACTTGGCTCAGTGGTGTTGATAAGAAGCCTGAATTTTCTTGGGCAACACTGAGAGTTTTGAGGGTTTTTGTTGTTCTTTTTTACTTTAAAAAAAAAAAAAGAGTGTTACATGGTGGCTCACAACCCTTTGTAAGTCCCGTCCCAGGGAATCCAACAGTCCCTAATGGCCTCTGAAGGCAGTGCATGCACATGGGTCCACAGACACAGATTCAAGCGAAACACTCCTACACATAAAATAAAAATTAGTAAATGGATTTCAGGTGCCATGAGAGACCTGTAAAGGGTTTTCAGTTAAGGGACACAGGGATAATATCTTTTTGTATTTTATATTTTAGCCATGTGAGTTGTAGCCTCTTTATAATTGTACCAGCAGTAGTAAACAGGACAGAAAAAGAACAGTGGGGAAGAAACTCACTCCTGGGAGGGAGATGATTGTCAGGGCTGGAAAGCAGGCTGCCCTTCAGTAGTGCTGGAAGTTGGTCTTGTGTGGGTTAGCCTGACAGCTGGGTGGAGGGGCTTTGCAGTAGACAGCTCTGAGAATACTTTGGAAGGATTGCCTGTTTAAGTGAAAGCCAAAGTAGGAATCAGAAGTGAGTGCTTGGGCCGTTGAAATGGCTCAGCAGATAGTCATTTACTGCCAGGCCTAATGGCCTAAGTTTGATCCCTGGGACCCACATGATGGCAGGAGAACACACTCCAATAAGTTGGCCTCTGACCTCCATACTCAGGCTGTGTCACAAGGAAACAGGCATAATTTATATAGATAGATGAAAAAAAAAGAATGCTTCTTGATTCCTGGCCAGAGTGATAGATGGTGTGGTCCTCGGTCCTTGGCAGCTCCTGGTTTGCCTCCCTTGTTCAGGTGGAGTTGTCAGGTGGATGGGGCAGAAGTTCAGGATAAGTGGGATAGATGGTTTTCAGTCCAGCTTAGACCAGCCACTCAGGACCTGGAGGGAAGGGTTAGGGGAAGGGTCTCCAGACTTAGCAGTAAGCCTTAATGCAGAAGTGTGCAAGTGAGCACCCTAACAGGTAGTCAGCAACAGGCGAGATGCAGCAGGGAGGGAGAGTACCAGAGGAGCAGCGGCGACCATGGAAGCTGATGGGAGCTTCCTTGTCCTTGAGGGTTAGAGGACAGTCAGCAGTTCTGAACGTTACTCAATGACAAGGCATGCCCAGTGTAGTTCATATCGCGAAGGTGAAATTGAGGCATTTGCGAGGAGGGGCATGCTTGACTGAGGAGCAGACTTTGATGAGAGTGAAGGGGAGGGACAGTAGGCTCGGCAGCTTCTCTGAGAAGCTGTCATTGAAGGGAGCCTAGGAAGGGGGTACAGTGCTGCCAGATACTAAAAATGGGAGAGCTCTGTCCTGGTAGCATGCTGGTGTGGTCTGCCCCAGGAGTGGGATGTCTGAACATGTAGAAAGGAGAGGGTATAACAGGACGAGTCCCGCTCCAGGGTAGCAGAAGGTGCCTGCCCAGTAGCTTCTCTGCAGCGGGAGGACAGGTTGGTGGCTCAGCTGTGCAGGAAAGGGGATGAGAATGTTTTGAGAAGAGAGATAAAGGGGAAGGCGTGAGGTTGTCTGAGGATGTGGGAAGTTGAACCTTGTAGAGGCGCAGTAGACTCTGAAGCGGTGCAAGGACCCATTTGATATATTTGTCACCATGAATTTATAAAGTAGAGCTGATTGCTAAACTTAGCTGTTTCAAAAAGGGTCATCCAGAATTGAGGGCTTGCCACTGAGGAAAGTGTGTAGCGATGCTCCATGGGAGAACTGTAGCCAAGGAGATGCGGAAGGGTAGGGGTGACGGGGGAGTAGCTTCCTCTTCCGTTTTGTGCCCATGCTCAGATAACGAGACAATGTCTGCCTTGGATTCATGGGTTCTTAGCTTAAAGAGTAACCACAGGCGTGAGATAACTCTGCACAACTTGATTTCAGGAAATTTGTGCCACACCTCAGCTGTTTCCAGATAACCCATGGGAAGGACAGGTGAAGCAAGGGCTGCTGGGGGATTGCTGGTTCCTGTGTGCCTGCGCTGCCCTGCAGAAGAGTCAGCACCTCCTGGACCAGGTACAAGCCGCCTTGGGCTCCTCCACTCAGTTCCTTCTGCCTGCACAGTACAGGAAGTTACTCCCGAAGCAGGGCCTGCTGCCGCACATCTGTGGCTGCGTGGCATGGGTGCTGGGAACAGGTCAGGGCACCAAGACAGGGACCCAAGTGTGTCCTGTCCACCAGACCAGAGCCACCTACACATTTAGGACACAAAAACAGGCCAAGCTGGCAAGTAGAACAGGGTCAGCAGAGGCATCTTGTCTCTCTGGTTTGGAATTTGTTTTCTTTACTGGATTGATTTCTTTCTTTTTTCATATGTAGGTTTTAAATACCAATAGGGAAAATGTCGTTGGAACTGTCTTCTGATACAGAGAGACTCCATAGAAAGGCCTTGTGGGTTTCCTTCCTCACAGTGCTGCTTGGTTTAGGTTGGCTTTTAGCTCAGGGTTTTCAGTTAAGGCAACAGCATTGAGGGGCGACCCATGTATGGCCTCTCTGTGTCCTGGGCCTGGGCTAAGCTCATCGCTGTTGTTACCTCTCCTTACAGCCTTGTTGACATGTAACTTTTCTGTAAAAGAGGATGCTGATGCCATCATCGCTCCTCACTTGCTGAGAGTTGAAGCCAGCACCACACTAAGTCTCCTGGGTGCAGAGCCCGCTTTTGCCTGCTGACAGAAGCGAGCAGTCGGCCTGGTTGGGCCAGTGACTGGCCAGTTTGGGGCACTTGGCTTTGAGAAGCAGGAAGGGCTGCTAGGCCTGTGTTACAGCCAGGTCTGTTGAGAATTGGGTTACAGAAGTGGGGTGTGGTGGTGCATGCCTTTCATCTCAGCACCCAGGAGGCAGACAGGTAGATCTTTTGAGTTTGAAGCTAACCTGGTCTGCAGAGCAAGTTTCAGGACAGCCAGGGCTACACAGAGAAACCCTGTCTCGAAAAACCAAAAAAAAAGAATTGAGTTACTCCTGCCTGCCAAAGCTTTGGATTCAGGTCAAATGCTTATTTGGGGCAGTAAATGTGGTTGGCTGTAAGCTTTGGGGACATGAGTTATTTATGTGAAAATCTGGATTTTGTGTTCACTGGTTGAGTTTGTTGTGACTTGGCCATATAGATCTGGCATCCAACAGAATAGAGCCCTTTACTCTTGGCAGGTGCTCAGAGAGGGCTTCTGTGAGGCCACACTGTTGGGAC